AAATTTGAAATTATACGTCATCGGGAATAGGCCAATCATCTTGTGTCGAAGTTTTTTTTGTTATACAAAACCAAGCCAACGAACAAACCAACACACAGAATGTCGAAGTGAACGCACATCCAAGTGACATTAAAATTGACACCACCTAACATCAGTAACATCTAACCTTAGTTTTTTGTTTTGGTTTAATTTTATTATTAATATGAATCAGCTGGATTTATAAAAGTTGAATCAAGTGTTTTACCCATTGTAAACGAAAATATGATTGCCGAGATGATTACTGCATTTTTTAACAATACTCAGTTTACAAAAGTCAGAAAGGTAAGACTTTGTTTTAATAGTAGGTAGTTACAGTTTATATGGAGCAAGTAAAACATATTTATCTCAGGTTTTATTTTTAGATCTGCCAAGCAAGAATATGGGGATAATTTCTTTTTCCATAAGAGAGAAGGAGACAAATTACACCTAAACATAAAGTACGGCAAAAACCTTCTGATGTGGTTGCCTTGTAATTAACAAAAATGAAATTTTTAGTGCACAATATGCTTAGGATATGCTGCATGTCAAGGTTTGTAATATTTATTATGCTTTTTTGTTTTTATATTACATATAATAAACAGTGTATAAGGCCCTTTATTCCTATAAATATTTTTTTTCTAATTTTGACATATAGACATTTTTTGTAATCGCAGCAAGTGTTAAAATAATCTAGAAACAGATTTTGTTAGTGAACCTAGTAATAATTATGATACCAAAGAATGCTGCAGAGCACCTATGAAATTTTGAGTTAAAAAATATGCCATATTTTTAGGCTATTTTTATACCCTTTTCAAAAATTTTAAGCTCCTCGTTTTTTTGCAAAACTTAAAATGCTCTATAGCTTCGAACAAAGTCAGCAAAGCACCTCTATTTTATAAAGTTTTTTATGTAAAAACAGCAACACCATATATTTATGCACTTGAAATATTATATTTTTAAAAATACATGGTGCTTGCTAACCTTCGAAAGAAGCCAGCAGAGCAATTCGGTTTTTTAAAGCTTTTTTCTAAAAACCACACCCCATTTTTAGAATATTTTTAGACTCTTGAAATACTGTAAAACTTTACTAAAAAATTGCTATTTTTAAATAATACAGGGTGCTTTGTTGGAACAAAGTCAGCAGGACACTTCAGTTTTTATTTTTTTTTTATATATATATATAAACAACTACTTATGACACATGTTTAGGCTGTTTTAAAATCCTAAAAATGTGGTAAGCACATTTGTTTTCAGAAAAAAACTTTGAAGTCAGCAAGGAATTGCGAATTTTTTTTAAAATGCCAAATTTTGAATATTTTATAATATTGTAGGAGCCAAAAAACGTGGTGTGGTTTAAAAAAAACTGGGGTGCTCTGCTGGATTCATTTGAAGCTAACAAAGCATCCCGTAATTTTTTATTTTATAATACTCAATAGCCTAAAATGAGCTGTTAAAACAAAAAATTGTATTTTTAACAATAGCAGTTTTTTTCGAAAAGCTCTATAATATTTCAAAAATGTGAAAATGTGGTGACATTGTTTTTTTTTAAGTTTTGAAAATCCGAGGTTCTTTACTGGATTCGTTCAGAGCTAGTAAAGCTCTGCTCGTCTTGTTACATAAAATAAGGCATGTTGTAGCTGGTTATATAGTTATTTTGTAACTGCATATCTAACCCTTTTATTTTTTTCAGGTGGTTGTAAACATGTAGCTTTTTTGCTGTGGCTTCATAGAGGGAGTGAGAAACCAACTGTAACATCTACTCAGTGTTATTGGAAAACCTCTTAATTTATCAAAATGCGTAAATATTGATGTACACTTGGCTAGATTGTTAAAGAAACCTCTTCATCCACTACAGGAAAATAAATCAGTACTTTTATATTCTTAGGATTTGTATATATATTTTTTATTTGTAAATAAATTGTTTTTTACTTCATTTTTCTCATTTTTTATTAAAAGATTAATAAATAAAATTTTCACAGATTTATATATTTTTGTTTGCAAACAATAATTGAAGAGTTTTTATTAAAAATCACCAATGTTAATAATAATAATAATAATTTAAGTCAATATTATTCTTTCTCCTTTTTTAAAGCTACTATCAATAAAGGTATTACTTTAGCTTGACCTATGATCAATTTTTAAATTTTGTGATATATTTGGTTCAACAGAAAAAAAATTATAACCCTTTGACATTGGTTGTTTTTACTTAGATTTTCATAAAAAATAAACGGAACTGCAAACATGTTTTACTATCGTAATAACGAATAGCAACATTAAATTTTTTTTTTCACATTTATCACTGTTGTCATTTTCATAAAGGATTGATAAGAAGGCACACTTTCTGGTTTTTTGAAAAAGGTAGCTAGAATTGTGATATTTTTAAATTTATCACCAGTGATATACCACATGTAGTTACCCGATTTATTGGAATATATAGACTTTGCAACCACATTCAACTGAACTTGGTTGTTTTTAATATTTATCACTGTGACATAGGCGTTTTTGTCAAAATGTTTCATTTTAAACTGCTGTAAATAGGTGCCTTTGTTTTGGTAGTTTTAGTCCCAAAAAAATCTATGCATATACAGGTACTCATTCCTCTTTGATTTGTTCGAAAAGTTAAAATTTTATAAAAAATTACATTGGCTGTTTAAAAACTCATTATAATCCCTGAAATGTGATAATTAGGTAAATTAAATTAAAAAAACCAACAAAAAAAATTATTAAATTAATATTTACTCTTACAAAATAGGTTCTTGTAAGTTAACAAGCAATTATGCAGATATTACTAAGTAAATGTACTTGCTTAAAATTTACACACGAATGTGGTTTTAACTTGTTAAATTAACTAACCCTTCTTATAACTCTTTCCACATGTATTCTTAGAGATGCTATTCTTTTACTTAATTGTACATCTTCTGGAGAACTTTTTTCATTCTGTGATACACTAGGTGTGGCTTTACTAAAGTGCATCCCATGTTTTCAAGTAGCTAAATATTCTGAAACCCCTATCTGCCATTATATGGGATCCAGGAACCAGTTTGTTTAAATACCCACATTTTTCTATTATTTCTTTATCACTAGTTCTTCAACAAAATGATGAATAAATTCGGTATCTTCAAAACTTTCAGGAGATTCTGCATTTTCTTCCAGAAGGGTTTTTAGGTTATACACCTAAGAATTTATAGTAGCCTCATTTTCAATTTCCTGAAGGGGACAATTAGCAGAAATTGCTGCTACATCTTGATAATCCGGTGTATTTTTATTAAAAAGTTTACGAGAAACATCGCCAGTAGAAGGTTGATTTTCTTCTTTCCAAATTTCTAGGAACACTAATAAATATTTTTGAAGATGAATGTGATTCATTATCACATTTTGGAACAAAACACTTTTTCGTAGTCATAATATTTATAAAAAGTACAAAATTAAACACTCAAATTCCAAATAAATTCTTGATCGAGACACTATGATGACAGATGCCATACACAGTGCTGCCATTTTGCCATTTTCTGAATTATTAAGTGACTTTTAAAACAATGAAACTTTAAATATGGTAAAAGTTTAAACAGAAATAATACTTTCAAAAAACATTTGATATTATATATTTAAAAGATATTTGTTTAACGATGTTTTAGAAGTCTAAAAGTAAGAAGGAGTACACAAACGAACGTACATCACTTCTCGTAAACCTTCTAGCCGGCAACGTTGTGCGCTAGCTCCTATTGGTCTATTCCCGGTGACGTCATAAATTTTAAAAAAATTCATAACTCCGGCAAATGAATAGATAAAAAAAAAATAAAAAAAATGTAGTTTTATTTGTAACTCTACTATTCATAAAAAAAATTTCAAAATTTTTGAACATGCCCCATTGCTCTGTTTGAATATCTACAACCGATTTTTGACCTCTCAAACGTTTGTTTATCCACATCGGACGCATCTGCTCCAACTAATATACGTACCTTAAATCACGTGATCAATGACTCACAAGATCTCAGATGCATCCAATATGGATAAATAAACGCAGCAAATATAGTCTGAAATTGTAAAGATAACAACGTGTTAACCCTATCATAATAATTTAGGCGTTATTTAATCTAACACTCGCCAACCTGTTATCTTCTGTAATTATTCTGATTAATAAACAAAGAAAAAGTTATAGGCTTAGAAAATAGTTTAAAGCAAGATAAAAGTAGATATTGATGTGGAATAGATAAACAATTAGAATTTGCCAGGATTAAATATCATGGGTATTCATATCACGAAGTTTTTGAATAAATTACTACTGAAAAAACTGTAAAAGTTTTTTTTATTTTAATTTAACTAAAATTAACCTACTAAATCTTCAAAAATAGAATTACTATATCAAGTGATAAGTTGACATCTGTACTGCATATAAAAATCAGAAAGGGCTTTTCAATTAAAATATGTCTTCTCAGTCATTCATTCAAGTCAGAGTAGAATTATTTCTACATTTAAAGGCGCGTTCTCGCGAGTCAATTTTAGTTGATCAACAAAAGTTGAATAAAAACTGTTGTGAGAACCTGTCTTTCAATAGAGTTGATCAGCTTTTTAGTTGATCAACAAAAGTGTGACCCAGTCAAACTTTTATTGTTCAAGTAATGTGTCATCATGAATTGTTTCAAGTTGAAGCTTGTTTTGAAACGTGTGAACTAGACAGTCAACTTTTGTCGAATGTGTAATACATTGGGCCGTATTCATAAAACTAAAGGATATCCTTGTAAGAATAAGGTATAAGTATAAGGTTTTAAGTTGAAGAAAAAGGTAGGAGTATAAGCATTTCCTTTTCTTCGTATTCATAATGATTACCTTATACTTGCAAGGATATCCTCCAAGAATAAGTAAAAGATTGTGCGTGCCGCGGCAGATTAAAACCTGTTTCCGATGGTTTGTTTATTTACGGTATTTCTTTCTTATCGGAGTTAATTTAATTTAATAAGTGCAGTATACTTCGATCAGCGAAGATGTATTCGTCAAGCAGCGATAGTGAAAGTACAGAAAAATATAATGCTAAAACCGAACTGCAGTTTATAGCAGATCAAATTACCAATGCCCCCGTAATTTTGGAAAAATCCCAAACACCAAAAATAAAAGCTAGAAAGGATGATGCTATTAGAAATGTTACCAGGAAGTACGAGGTAACATTTGGTAAAGCACTGGATTCAAAAGGCTTTTTAAAGAAAATGAACAATATGAAAGGAAGCTTAAAGAAAAAAACAGACTTGAATAAAACTGGAAATAAACCAATCAAACTGTTGGAATGGGAGAAAAAGTTATTGAAGGCTATGGAGGGCGACAGTAATCCTACAATTGGAAAAATCGGAGGCGCACTGCAAGTTGGTATTGAAGATGGATCTGCTCAGCATAGAGTAAGTGAAGCTTCTACTACGCGAAAAGAGACTGAAACAGCCATCAAAGCACAATCTAGTAGTACCAAGACTGTCGAATCTCCTCTGCCAACAAGAAAAAAACACCAATAGAAAAGTACGAAACCAATTAAACGAAAGGACTCACAACCAAAGAGCTTCAACGGCTAGTTCTTTTAGAGCAGTATCAAACAACTAAAATTCAAAGAGATTACTATGAAAAAAAGTTGCAGAGGATGACGCGTGAGGCACCAGAAACAAATATTGTTAACGAAGGGGAGTTATCATACTACAATATGTAAACAATTTACCAAATTTTTCCGTACAACCGTATTATATCGATAATATTATAATATGTTGTTATAATAATACTTAATATTATGTTAAGTAACTTATTATTATTAATTTTGTAGGATATCTAGTTTCTTTAAAAAATCCAGTATACTTAGATCATAAGGATTTAAAATGTAAAAGAATGGTTAATTTATTATTATTAAAAAATTTGCAATAAAATAAAAATAAAAAGTTTGCGTTATAAAATAAACTTAATAATTATTTGAATTTTGTTTTATAAAAACCAAAATGATCTAATGGCGTAAATAATAAAACTAAATTAAATTTGAACTTTTATTTTATACAGTACCTAAATTTAATTGTCAAAGTTGTTTATTACAATGCTCAAATTTCTTCTCACTTCTTGTCCCCGTTGGCGAAGAGGTAGCTCAACGTCGCCATCAATATCATTGTCATCTTCTTCTGGCACTCCTTCTTCAGGTGCTTCAAAATCGATGTCTTTCAAAGTTTTTGCCACATTATGAAGCCCAATACAGGCAACAATTATTTTTGGCACATTCTCCAATTTCACTCGGCAAACATGTTGCAAAATAGGAAATCGACGTTTCAGTTGACCAAAATAACGTTCAATTATCACTCTCTCTTTTTTCAAAAGTTTATTATAATTTAGTTCAGTACCTGGAGCGGGATTTCTGAATGGAGTCATGAGCCACGGCTCTATACCATATCCATCAATAGTAAGTAGCACGATGTTGGTTTTATTGTGTATATGAACCCTTATTTGTGAATTTCTCCATATTCTTAAATCGTGGACCGATCCAGGCCAACTAACGTCTATACTAGTGAATATTTCTCTTGCATCACAAGTGGCTTGCACATTCAGTGTTGGATGACCATTTCGGTTGACATACTCATCACCATGGCGATTTGGTTTTAGAATTCCTACGTGGGTACAGTCAACTACGCCAATTGCTGTGGGAAACCTATACTTGTTTTGCCATAACTGTTTCGCTATCATAAATTCATTGTTGGTAGTCGGAAACTTTATCCAGTCATTTGATTGCGCCACTATGCTGTCAATTACGGTAGTTACTGTACGAGATACTGTAGCTTGACTCACACCCAGTTCTTGACCAATGCCTTTCTGATATCCAGGGTCACTGAGATAGCGTAAACATATCTGTATTTTAAGGACGGATGATAACGCACCTCCTCGAGTTTCAGCATTTATTCCCAAAAATCTGTTAGCAAGCCATTGCACATTTTCCTCTTCAAACCGGTATAATTCTTTGTAATCACGAACAGGTGTTGATAAACGCTGTTTGTAGTGTTTAATCTCTCTCAATTCCACAATATCTACCATCGCTACAACTGATCACTACACGACTGATGTGAGTCTGCTACTGACCACACTCGAAATTATTGACGGATATCCTTTTTAGTTAGAGTAAAAGGTAACGTTTATGAATAATCAAATTCTTTTTGTGAAGGATTTGCTCATACTCTATAAGTATAAGGTTTTACTCGGAATATTATGAATGCGAGATGAAGGATTTCCTTTATATTCTCCAAGTATAAGCATAACCTTTTTTTTATGAATACGGCCCATTGATGAACAATGTATAGTACGTTTGTAACTTTAATCTTGGTAAGATTGATTGATGTATCATTGATTCCTGTTTTTTATGCGATTCTGAATTTTTAACAGCAGTTCCTCGAATTTATCTTCAAACAGTCGTAAATGATTTCTATACCTTTAACGCTTCCAATCTATATATTTTCAGAATCCACTGCCTCACCCAAAAACGACGTTTATACGACTTTTGTTTATATCAACAATATTTTTCAGTTCTTCTTTTAACAAAAGTTAAACAATCTGTAAACATTTAACGCTATTTTACATTGATACTGATAATTCAGTTTATATTGAAATGTGTGAACAACAATTGATTCAAGTTGTATTCAACTTTTGTTGATCAACTAAACTTGACCCGTGAGAACATGCCTTAAGTATGCGTAGAACGGAACTTGGTTAAATAAACAGAGCTATGATTATAACTGAATTCGTTTCAAGATTTTCTACATTATTTTAGGTATACCAATTTTTCGTTAAATGCGTTTATGTAATTCTTAATTAATTGTTTATGTAGTTCTATCACTCCATGTATTACTTATAAAAATTATCTATATGAAATGAAACAAAAAATGGTCAGAAGTGATATTTTAACTATGGTAATACATGTAAAATGCACCTTATTTTAGTAACTGATATTCATAATTTTTTGAACACGCTGTATAATTTATTTTGCAAAGTGTAAGTAAGCATAAAGAAACTATATACAAGTGTAATACATGACATAAGGTTCACGGAAAAAACAAGAATTACCAAAGAGTGGTGGAGATATATTCGAAAATATTGATTCTGTACTCCTTACTTTTGAATCCTTCTAACAACTCATCCTGTAGAGCTGTCTACTTGAGGTACATAAGAAAGTTGTCCCTAATGACCTAAAAAATAACATACTAAAATTTGAACAAAATCTGTCAGTACTCAAAATCAATGTAAAAAGTGCGGGGTCCTTTAGTACTAAATTACTAAGAGCCGATTCCACCGTTGTGTTAAACGAAGATTAAAATGATATTTTTACGTTGCCAAGGTCATTTTATTATTCGTTTAGTAATTTAAACTTCGTTTAACACAACGGTGGAATCGACCCTAAATGATTTAATTTAGGGCTAAATTCTAGTTCTTAATTCTTAATTAAAGTCAGGGGGCAACTGCCCCCCAAAACGACGCCCATGCTAGTGTATAAGCAGACAAGAAACAAATAATTTTATTATCAAGTGTATAATTTGATTGAAGTAATTCTTAGAAGGGGAATGGGGATTACCCATGATATTTTAAAGTTTACTGCAGGTTAATAATTCGATAACAAACAATTATTTAAATAATTTCTTGTAAACAGAACTGAGATTCTTTTTTACAATTATATCTTAATGTTATTGTAAACATAAATCATAAAAAATTATTAATAGAAAAGTAAAAATCCCCGATTATATCTATTCAGAATATATACTGATTAACGATTAGCTAGCAAGTCAAATTCAAATTTGAAACGTGTTAAAAAACATAACATCAAGATGAAATTACTGGTGAGTAGTTTTTTGTATACAGTGCGCTTATAAAGTATGGAAACGCCCCATTATCTTACGAGTTAATAATTATTATTTTCAGAGGTAAAGCTCGAACAGGTCAATTTTTAATTTTAGTTTTCTACTTAAAAAAAATACCCTCACTACCTTAGTTAGTTAGTTAGTTAGTTAGTTCAGCCATATCACATATGTCATAATAATATGTAAGACCTAAAGTCTTACATATATACAGTATAAAGCAAACCATCAGTGCTCATATTTAAAATTTATTTAATTTATTTTGCAATAAAAACTTGAGAATTACTGGTTTCCTTTATACTCAGTATACTCTAACTTAAAGTATTATAACAAATGAATTGAAAGTGTTTAAAGTGTGTAGGTAGAGTTTTATTAATAAAACTTAGTAATATTAGTCTGAGCGCTTTCAGCCTGTTAGGCCATCATCAGAGACACTACAAAGAGAGAAAAAACGGAGCTATAACAATATAATCAAATCATGATATTCCTGAACATTGAATAAAAAATAAAACATCTTGAAAACTTACTCGTCAATAAATGTAGAAGAAGCTTGAAAATTAATATATAACTAGATTAAAAAGGGTTTTCACAATATGGTCCCTGTTCTCCACCATAAGTCGTAAGAAATAACAGAACCACTCCTAAAAGGTGGTTGCAATTTAAGAAAAAAACGTAGGGGCTCATCCCAACACGTAGAAATAAACAATCTTACCCATTCAAAGGTAGAGAAAGATAAAAAACTGTACTTCAGCATGAAGCCAGCTAACCCTTCCAAGTCGCTGCCGAGAGGCGAAGGCAAGTTGGGGCACAAGAAGTCGTAAAACGTTAGCGAAATTTCGGAAAAAGTACCCATCTTGACAGTGCCAAAAATAACTGAGTGACAATTGACAGTTGACAATGAAGTTGTCAAGACAATTGCCAACTTGAGAAATAGAAATGAAGTTCATGAGAAATGATCAAAAGTTAATATTGACAAAGATAAAAGTGGGTTGGTACCACTGAACTAGCAAGCACAAGTTATGGAGGGAATTTGATATTGTAAACAATCAAACATTACAATGATTAAATAGAATTATAAAATATACAGTGAATGAAGGTAAAAACACATTTTTTATATAAAATTATTGGAATTAAAAGGTGCCTGACTAAAAACAACAGAATTGAGCATGCCGACCCCAGCGAAACCGAAGTCGCAGGCAGGCCAACTTTTCCATCTATAAGAGGAGGAAAAACCGTCCTGGCCACGAAATCAGATATCACCGGAGAAGACAAGATCAACTCCGCTGTAAGAAGATCCATGGAGAAGCTAGGTAACTTCAGACCAACCGTTACCAATACTCTTAAAGAGAGGAGGCACTTTGCTATTGAGATGGATTTGAGTGTTAACACATGTGACATTAGTTTTATTAAACTCTCGGTGTATCTCAAGATCTTCGAGCAGATTTAATTTAAAGTTGCAATTAAAATTATTATGAAGGACAGTGACATTCTCAGAAGGAGTGAAATTGTGATTATTGAATTTAATACGATGTCCAAAAGTAGACTTGTCTGGATATCTAATGTGTTCAACCGCTCGTATGTTGAGTCTTCTCTCGGTTTTCCCTATATAAGTAGTATTGCAATCGTTACAGTTTAATCTGTAAATACCGCTTTTGTGTAGCAACTCTATTTCATCCTTAGTGTGTGACAGTAGGCTTTTAATCGAATTAACATTTTTAAAAGAAATTTTAATATTGTTGCAATCCTTAAAAACTGCAGCGATATCATTGGAAATTTTCCCGAGATAAGGTAGTGAAAAGTATTTAAAATTTGCAGGAGAATCGTTAGTAGGATTAAAAGCAAGTAGGGACCTTTTCTTTAGTTTGACCTTATTAATAACCACGTCAATTATAGAAGGATTGTAGTTGTGATTAAAAGCTAATTATTTTAAAACGTTGATTTCTTTATTAAAATTATGATTGGATAAAGGTATATTGAGGAGCCGGTGAACATAACAGTATATGGCTGATAACTTGTGTTGATAAGAGTGATTAGAGTGAAAATTAATTAGATGATCAGTTTGAGTGGGTTTCCTGTAGATATCAAAATCAAGCTTATTATCCAGACGACTAATAGAAAGGTCTAGGAAATTAAGTGATTTGTTGACTTCAAGTTCGACTGTGAATTTGATTTTAGGATGGATATTGTTGATGAAAATTAAGAAGTCATCAATCTCAGTGAAGTTGCAATTCATAATAGCAAAAATGTCATCAACATATCTGTACCAGTGTAAGATTCGATTGTTAGGGGAATCATTCACAATTTTATTGGTTTCTAGGTGATCTAAAAATAAGTCTACTAACAAAGGACTTAGAGGGTTGCCCATTGCTAGGCCATTAGGTTGTCTGTAAAATGTTTTATTAAAAATAAAGAAATCTTGGTCAAGACAGACTTTGAGTAAATCCAGTATAATATTGATCGAATGAAGATTAAAGTTATTTTTAGTAAGAAGGTCCTTAATAATAGGAAAGGCTTCCTCTCTGGGAACATTAGTGAATAAATTACTAACATCAAAAGAAATTAACTTAGCTTCAGAACTTAAATTTATGTTTTTAAATGTTGTTTGATAAGTGTGTTTTTATGAGGTTCAGTAGTGTTAAGAGATAAGTATCTATTAAAAATGGAGATACAGTGTGCTTTCAAAAGATTCGTAAGATCAGTGTCATTAGAAAAGTGGTTAATAATAAAATCCGCATCAATAGACAATTCTTCAATATCTTTTTTGTGAATCTTAGGTTTAACTGCAAATTTTAAGCCTAATGAGAGAAACTCAATTTCATTATCATTAAAAATAATGTTAGACAAGTTTTTAACTCTGTCATGAAAATTAAAGGAGGAGAATTTATGTTGAAAGTTAGAAGGTTGATTGTATTTTTTATGTATTAAGTTGTTAAGTTTGAGCTTTAGTCTATTGAATTTAATGTGTTTAAAAAAACAGACATCATCATGAATGTCGTTAAGATTAACTTGCAACAGTTGATAAGGAATTACTTGAGCCAGTTGATCGTATAGAATTTTGAGATCAATGTTAATAGCGTTGATTTTAGAATAGTGTTTACAGATTTCCGAGTATTATATTTATCACGTACGTGGTGGTATGGTTGAACTCAAAAAATATGAGCTTTTAATTTTTGATATAAAAATATACACTTTCAATTTATAAAAATAATCGATGGCGTTTTAAATTTTTTAAATTTTTTAAATTTTTTAAATTTTTTAAATTTTTTAAATTTTTTAAATTTTTTAAATTTTTTAAATTTTTTAAATTTTTTAAATTTTTTAAATTTTTTAAATTTTTTAAATTTTTTAAATTTTTTAAATTTTTTAAATTTTTTAAATTTTTTAAATTTTTTAAATTTTTTAAATTTTTTAAATTTTTTAAATTTTTTAAATTTTTTAAATTTTTTAAATTTTTTAAATTTTTTAAATTTTTTAAATTTTTTAAATTTTTTAAATTTTTTAAATTTTTTAAATTTTTTAAATTTTTTAAATTTTTTAAATTTTTTAAATTTTTTAAATTTTTTAAATTTTTTAAATTTTTTAAATTTTTTAAATTTTTAAAATTTTTTAAATTTTTTAAATTTTTTAAATTTTTTAAATTTTTTAAATTTTTTAAATTTTTTAAATTTTTTAAATTTTTTAAATTTTTTAAATTTTTTAAATTTTTTAAATTTTTTAAATTTTTTAAATTTTTTAAATTTTTTAAATTTTTTAAATTTTTTAAATTTTTTAAATTTTTTAAATTTTTTAAATTTTTTAAATTTTTTAAATTTTTTAAATTTTTTAAATTTTTTAAATTTTTTAAATTTTTTAAATTTTTTAAATTTTTTAAATTTATTAAATTTTTTAAATTTTTTAAATTTTTTAAATTTTTTAAATTTTTTAAATTTTTTAAATTTTTTAAATTTTTTAAATTTTTTAAATTTTTTAAATTTTTTAAATTTTTTAAATTTTTTTTAAATTTTTTAAATTTTTTAAATTTTTTAAATTTTTTAAATTTTTTAAATTTTTTAAATTTTTTAAATTTTTTAAATTTTTTAAATTTTTTAAATTTTTTAAATTTTTTAAATTTTTTAAATTTTTTAAATTTTTTTAATTTTTTAAATTTTTTAAATTTTTTAAATTTTTTAAATTTTTTAAGTTTTTTTAAATTTTTTAAATTTTTAAAATTTTTTAAATTTTTTAAATTTTTTAAATTTTTTAAATTTTTTAAATTTTTTAAATTTTTTAAATTTTTTAAATTTTTTAAATTTTTTAAATTTTTTAAATTTTTTACATTTTTAGATAAATCTTTTTTTGTTTTTCATTCTTTATTTCCTGTATCCTAAATTTTTACATTTTCTATGATTTAATTTATGAAATTATTTTAATTTACAATTTTGTTTAAAAATAATATCAAAATCATTTTTAATATATTTTACAATTTATTAATATTTTACCATTTATTTAATTTTTAAATTTAATCAATATTTAAAAATTTTTGAAATTGACTATGCTTATTACCTTCCCATTTAACTTGAGCAACTGATACAAAAAATATTGTATTAAAAAAATCTTTGCTTATGTTTTAGTTGGTTTGCTTGATAGCAATTTTGTTGATTCAAAATTCTATAGAGTCTCCTTCAAGGGACGCAGGACCGCACGGTGCAAACAGAGGAAATGGAGGAGGAAAATCCGGAGGAAAATCGGGAGGAAGTAGTAATAAAGGTGGAAACAACGGAGGAAATGGTGGAAATGGTTATGGAGGTGGTTGTGCTGGATGTAGATTGGCTTGAAAATAATTATATATCTCGCTCATATATCTTTGTTAATAGTTACTAATTGGTAGGAAATATACGAGAAATAACTTACATTGTCACAGCATGTGTGTAAAATAAAATTATTCAAAATGTTTAAATACTAGTTTTGAATTTGAAATGTAGATTTAGAATCATATAACTGGTTATTTGAGAAATAGGTAGGAAATTATGGACAAAATTAGCAAACATTTTTCTCATTTAAACTTATACCAAAAATATTTGATAATTTTATTTCTCGACTTTCAGGTCTTCCTTACCTTCGTTGATTATAAATAAAATAGGTACCGATTTTATTTATTCACAGCTCGAATCAGATATTTTTTTATGGGCTGCTCAAATATTATGTGATGTCATTACCCATTTTCGGGTTTTAATAATTAAAAATCACATTTATTGACAGTTTCTTATGTCAAATTTAGGTTTCGTGAACGTTTTGGGATATGATTTAGATATAAAACATGCTTACAAGTAAATATGTGATTTCTTATTAATGATTTCCTTAGGTATAAATAAAACTTTAAAAATTTTGTTGTATACAATAATAATTTCCTAATATTTTCTAATTTATGAAAAAAATATTTATCGTTTCGTTTTAGTATATTTAATAATTAAATAAAACAGAGGAGTAATAATGGTTTATCTTCCAACCAACGCATCTTCACCTCTATAGTACCTTAGATAATAGGGAAATAAGTCTGTTCCGGGTACAAATCTTGGGCCGTAGCCTGGTCCATTTACAGGACCAAATCCTTGAGAAGCACCTAAAATTGATTTAATTCCATACATACATTCCTGTATATTTGAGAAGGTATTAAGTACTAACCTGGTCCGAATGCTCCACCGAAACCCCTTCCATATCCGGGTCCAAATCCTCTATTAAATCCGGTACCCACGCCTACACCAACTCCTGGACCAATTCCCCTACCAAATCCTCTTATGTAACCACCACCAATCCCTGAAGCTGGTCCAATTCCATAAAATTGACTTTGACATGTTCTAAAACTGATTGTGAGTAGTACCGCAAGTAGAACGATGAGATTCTAGAAAGATACATAACTGAATTTGAAATACTTATATCAAATGTACGGTCATGGCGAGTACTGAATAGGTCGCACGATTTGGTGACCCTGAAAATATTTAAAACTCGCAAGTTTCTACAGCAAAAATTGGATTCAAAAGTTAATCAGTGTCTTAATAATACCTTTATCTGTGTACATAAAGTGTCATGTCCTGAGAAAAAAGGTAAGAACACAAGAAATACATAAGGTATGCGGTGATTACAACAACACCACTACACCCCAACCAACATGCATACACCCTACACTCCAGGCAGATCTACTGAACAAGCCCTTCATCTAGTTGCTGGCCGGATAGAAACATCCCTGGACAATAAGGAGTCCGCCTGGGGTGTTTTCATAGACATAGAAGGTGCTTTTCCTACAATTTTTCCATTACGGTCCATTTTAGAAAAATCATGTATAAACAAAAATTATAGAAATCGATATCGCAAACAACTTTTAGTTCAACAATTTTCATAAAAATCAGAATTTGGCACATTTTGTCAAATTTCTCGAATACGGACCATTTTAGGAAAATTTTGTATTTAACAAAAATTAAAGATAATAATATTAGAAGTAACTTTTATTTAAAGAATTTTCATCTCCAAACGTAAATAACAGATATATTCCATAAAATTTAAAGATGACTACCCATAAAGTACCCCCCAGATGTTCCGACTCTGCCCAAAATCTAATCAGGTCATTGAACGCTGGAATATAGCTTAAGTTTAAATTTTGGTTCACCGCGAAAATAGTCAAAACGGATTCAGGGCACCTCAAAACTTAAAAATCCGTCGAAAACACGAGGTCGAAAAAAATCATCATTCCTATACTTTCCTTATATCTGTATACAGATAGGAAAGTAATTATATATCTATACAGATAGGAAAGTAAAAATGATAGGCTACCAGATAGTGTTAATGATACTGATAAATACCATAGACAGTGTTATAGCAGTTTTACATCCTTGATTTTTAAATATCGTAATCCAAATCCTATACTGCAGATTAATTCTCCGAATACATCTTGTCCAACATTTTCAAATTCTCCAATTAATGTTTGTTATACTAAAGAAAATATTACTCCAATCGTTGATAATAGCGATCTAAATACGTTTTCAACTGATTTAGCATTTAGCAATTGACTCCTTTCATAAAATTCCAGAGTTGGAAAAAAAATGTGCCACAGAAAGAAGTGATAATCTTAAAAATGTATGCTTTTTTTTAGAGAAAGACCGAAAGCAAGTTAAAGGAAAACAGCAAACTTTACATTCTTCAAAAGATGAAAAATTATATGAAAAAATTATTGAATGGATGACAATATTAGATCATGATAAACTGTTATATATATAATATATATAAACTGTAACTACCTACTATTAAAACAAAGTCTTACCTTTCAGACTTTTGTAAACTGAATATTGTTAAAAAATGCAGTAATCATCTCGGTAATCATATTTTCGTTTACAATGGGTAACACACTTGATTCAACTTTTATAAATCCAGATGATTCATTAAACCAAAACAAAAAACTAAGGTTAGGTCGTTAGGTGGTGTCAATTTTAATGTCACTTAGATGTGCGTTCACTTCGACATTCTGTGTGTCGGTTTGTTCGTTGGCTTGGTTTTGTATAACAAAAAAAACTTCGACACAAGATGATTGGTCTATTCCCGATGACGTATAATTTCAAATTTTAAATTTCAATTGGGCTTAATTTAAAAACTTTTGGCTTTTTAACGAACTGACTATTTAGAATAACTTGTATAGCGACTAACTATTACAATATAATTTATAAAACAGCATATCTCACATGTGAACATGGCCCATTCTGAAGAAACGCTACCAGGATCATCAAAAAAAAAAGAAGAAGAAACTTTGATGCTATTATTCCCGATATCCTTCCATATGCTAAACGATTAAGGATGTCTGGACGTTTAAAACTGGTTGAGGAAGATCAATCTAATTTACCAGAAAACTTTACATTAATGCAATCAATTGATCTTCTTCACTTGGTACCACATTTTTTTCATGTACCAAACACTCCAATATGGACAGGTTTTAATTGTAAGCTACTACCTGCTACTACCTAGCTTAAAACAAAGAGTTTCATATTTAACACCCATTAATCTATAACCTACTAATACAGCTGTTGTGGTAAATACAATGGAACAGGCACAAGCAATAGGTAAAGAATGCAAGCAAACGTATGTACAAGTCACTTATGATTTGGCAATATCTAAAATTGCATTAAAAATACAAGCAGTAGAGCAGCCTCGATTTAATAATTTTTTTATACATCTGAGTGCATTTCACTTAATGATGGCTTTTTTTAAATCAATTGGTACGTATATTAATGAGTGTGGATTATCTTATAAGATGATTGAAAGTAAAATCATAGCTAGTGGATCAGTTAATGGAATTATTGAAGAAAAACATTTCAATCGTTGCAAACGTCTGCATCCCTTAACGGCTCTAAGTTTACAAATGTTGCATTTTGATCAATTCTTAAAAACAAAAAATACAAAATTTGATTTTCTCAAAGAGCAGATTTATGACGATCTTTTAGAGTACCAAGACACAAATCTTCTACCATCAATTAAGTCAGAGGAACTCTTAACTAATGGCGTATTATCTTAACTTTTTTCTTCATACAAACACTGCGAGGCGATCATGGGAAAACAGCTCATTACTAGATGATGTATATACAGTTGGTCAATTATTACGTTACTTTATCAAGAAGCATACGCATGGGTGTTTTTGAGATGTTTAAATATATTGATATGGGGTGTATGTGTATGTGGATAAATTTTATATTATTATTAATTTATACACAACCCCAATCATTAATTTACTATCGCAAATAACAGAATGTTTTACGAATTATTTTTTATTTTATAATTGCCCGGCGCCACTGTGTATGTGATGGAAAAATATAATTTATTATTTATAAATTTAATTATTTAAAAAATATATATTATTAAATTTGAATTTACCTTTCATTTACTTATCTATTAAAAAAATTAAACACAGAATTAACAAAAAAAAACATTTAAACACATTTTTATTGTAAACCAATAACTATTGAAAGAAATATCAAAAGGAGCTTAACATAAAAATTCCTAATTATTAAATACCTACCACCATCTATCATTCCTAAAACACACTCATACAAAAAATTACTAGATAAATTAAAAAGATTACTACGTAAATAATTTGCAAGCTTTTGGTCTGGTGTTGAAGAGGGCACGAAAAAGCAAAGTTTGTTTGCTCTGCGCTAATGTTCGTTGGGTTGCAAATTATTTAAACGTAAACATTGACGCTGGCCGCTAACAAATATTTTTTTTTACAATTAATGGGAAACAAAGAAAAGAAATTAAAATAAATGGTAAGTGATTGTTTAGTTTTTAGTTTAAGCAGTTTAATAATTGTCTTATACCTTTTAATTGTTTTCGGTAGAGTTCTTGACTGTGAAAGCTTCTTGATATCGTTGATTCTTTATTTTAGGTTATGTTGATCTATCTGGGGGTTTATGTGTGAGCGGCCTCCTTGGATGGGATACAAGTCACAAACGTCGCCAGGAGCTGCTACGTCACTCATCGGTTGCCATGGTTTTATTTTCTTAGACTTACATACATTTTTTTCTTACTTTTCGATTTAAAACTCGCGTTTCACTTTGTTTAGATTAAATTTTATTTCAGACGTCTAATTACAACTTATTCTTACTTTTAAGGTTGATTCTGTGTGTATATTTGTTAAAATAGATTAAAAAAATTCAAAATGTTTCATGACAAAGAAAAAGAAACTTAGTTTCCCTTTGGAAATTCAATTCACCACCACCTTTTTTTTTTCAACAAAACCCCTTGGTAACCGAAATTAGATTCAAATTGAATTTTATTGTATAACTTTTTTGTGTTAGCACACATGTCAAAAATTATTAATTATGGCTGACAGAAGTGTTTCCTGTTTGATATACAGGGTGTTTTTTATATAAGAGTAAAAATAAAAAATGCCTCAAAAACATTCTGTTATTTTCGATGGTAGATTTGTAACTTTGATCATCCCCAAAACTTATTGAATCTCTTTATTTTAAACCAGGAAAGTTCAACGAATTTATAATTTCCTTCGTTATAATATAATTCCCAAAATAACTATTTGTTTTCTATGGTTTATCAACAAAATTACGCTCGATGGTGTGTTAAATATTTGGACAATTTAAATAACATTAACGAAACGCACCCAGGACTTGAAGATGATTTTAAGAAATGTTTCTTTGGAATTAAAAGAACCGAAAGATCTTTTTCAAGAATACCAATAGATCCTACCTTGGAGCAAACAATTAATGCTGATGCAGCTAGACGATTAAGTGGAATTTCACATTTTACTAACTCTATAGCAGCACTTCAACGCTGGACAAAAAGCCACAGATTAGAGCTGCGTTAATTTCATGATGTTCTTGATGTTTGTGAGTTAAAACAATATTAAGACGTTATTGCAGATTTAAAACCTAGTAGAATAAAAATTTATGCAAAACAAGTAACAGATCTTGTTAATATACTTGAGAACAATTTTAATTAATTCGATTCAAGTTTAGATCGAGATAATCTTTTATAATATCGCTACTGCCAAGCCTACTACTACAGATGTTGTTGAATTTTTACTAAATGCTGATAATGAAAAGATTCGACAAACCTATTAAAAAAAATTGAGTGCTTAACTTTGCTGCTGCTCCGAAAACAAAAAAACTCACTCTTGGTAATAAAATCGTTGAATTGAGAATGCAGAGACATATTTGGTCGAATGTTTTGGAATATCTCTAGGCCATAAGGTTGATATTGAAAAAGTACTTTGATTCCCACTTACGCCTTTGCTAACATCCATGTGTCATGCTGATGAAACTATTTGTAAAACAAATAAAGCACAGTTAGTCAAAATAATCGAAAAAACAATGGAAGACAATATCAATGAGTACCCGTTGTGTTTCG